TCTTTATCTGATGTCATTAAGATAATGTGAGACTGTTGAAATACTACATCAATCCTGCATATTAAATGAAATTAAAATAAGTCAATGACAGTAGTATTTCTAATATCACATCATTTTATACTGATCATTTAATCTTCAGTGGTTATCTTGTTCTATATGTTGAACTTTCTTTTTAACAAAACTGAAGTATAGTTTTTCTCATTATCAATCACAATTCTATTGAAACATGCAACTGAAAATTTTATTATTCCATAAATAAATCATATTTTATAAAATTTATATTTTTCAATCTTATAATATTGTGCAATTTTGTTTTTTTGTTAAATGATCAATTATGATGATTTATTTTATTTAACTATTACGTTGATTATTTTTTAAAGGCTAATTATCAACATTTTATTGAAGGTATTGTATTTTAAGGGTAATTTACTACTTCTAAGATTCTACTTGGCTAAATCAGTTATCATTCATTACAACGATTGAAACATCAACACTTAAAGCCTATTTTGTTTACAGAATAAATTACCCAATAAGTATTTGATTAAAGAAGCTGAAACTACGTCATTAGGATTCTTTGAAATAATTGAAAAACTTTCTCATTTGTAATTCCTTTTTTAATTTGTTACTGAAGGATATGCAACATCAATTTTTCGCTTGATTAAAAATGCTACTGGAAATTGTTTTTACTATTTATTGATATGCTTGTAATTCTCCGTTGTTTTATCGGAACGAATTGTTCGACCTCTATTGGCATATGGGCTCCTATGCGAATGCTTCGATATAGCCTGAATATTAACTAAGATTACGATTTTTAACAGGTGGCTATCGTGTCTCAGTGGCCTGCTGGATAACGCCTTGGCATTTGAAGCGATGGGTACGAGGTCCGAGTCTCAGTGGGAACAACACTTCGCACTGGGGTGCAGGTACATCCAGCTGACGAGTCCTAAATACGACGAAACACGTGGTCTGGACTCCTCTGCTAGTCAAAACCAAGTGAATTATGGAAATAGTTTCATTAATAAAATACTTTTACACCGAAATAACTATCATCTGCAAATGAAGCTGATATTCATCTCTATACCGATTTCGATACATAAAACTAATTTCTTTGCAGGATTTTGGAGTAGATGAAACTGGACTTTTAAGTGCACCAAAATACCAACATATTACTAATCTTCAAATACTTAACCTGAATTATGTAGAGATTTTTGTACCGGCTTAATGAACAATCGCCACGAAACTTACACTTGAAGCGCGCTTTTCGATTCACTGTCTGTTCAGATCAATCGCTAATGTGACAATTGCAGACATAACTATAAAGTGCAGATTTACTTCCATCTTGTCTTTTGAATAAGGCTGATCTTCTTCAGGATTATTTCCTTGAAGAATCTCAGACTGGACTTCGGTGCGTAACGTTGAAATGATTTTATATTTCAAACGTGCTGTGTCTAGTGTCAATCTTATGCTCAGCGCTCAATATTTTTGCGATACTATTTAGTTAAAACTTGATCATAGTTCAGATAAAAATATAAGAAGAAATTATTCGTTTTGATTAACGGAGCTTAACTAAAAAACACCGAGAACATTTTATGACTTCTATTTCCGTTAGAATAGCTGCCATTTTAAATATTTCTTTCTTGGTTGAAGAAATTTCTCACATTTTTCAAAATTTTATCTCATGCATTGTATACAAGCTCTTAGCAAACCTTTTACTAAACTTCCTCATTTTTCATTCTGAAAGATGCATGGAGTGTCAGATTTCCAATTGATGTTGGGTGATGATTGAAGGTGAAGTAGAAATGCGGGCTACAGCAAGTTTTGAACCAGCGACTACCGAGTTTCCGCCCCATGCTTTACCAACTAATCTATTAGATCTGGCAGCTGACCAGACTTTTATTTCAATCACGAAGGGAAACTGACAGACAAACCGTGGCTATCTTAGATAATCAAGACGATAATTAATATGATCCATAACCTCTCTAATTCAAGTAGATTTGGATTAGGATGAGAAGTCCTGACTGGAAACGGAGTTCATATATATGTATACATACAAATACATACAATATACACTGTCTTCAATGAAAGCTGATAGATCAACTGTGTTTTTCCTTTTTTCATTTACTTTTATCAAAGGAATATAAAATGTTTAATAGTCTCAAAGTCTATTGGACTTGATTATTTTTCTTGATCTAGGAGATCAGATGGCTGACCACAATCTTATTTCACTTTCACTTACTACCAAGGATTTCTTTTACTCGACTATCATGTGAATTCATAATGCGTCACTTTCATGCCTTCTCAGCCAGAATATCTCATATGCAGTCATCAAGCAGTATGAATAACAAAAGTCTGTCAAACCACATCAGCTATCTGAGATAGATAAACTGATAAAATTAGCTGTCAGTTGAAAGTTTCACAATTATAAATGTTAACATACTACATTCTGTTTTGTTTTGCTGTTTGATTCACTGACGAAATGTTACATCTCAGTATTTTATGTAACATATAAACTACCCACCTGAGTCTTACTAACATATTGTCAGTTTATTACTACTGGGTGATGACTGAAGGTGAAATGAAAATTTCGACCACTCAGTTGGTAGAGTATCAGGCTGGAATCCCGGTGATTACTGGTTCCAGTCTGGTCGCGGTCCAAATTTTTATTTCACCTTAACCAGTATCAATACTAACCTCCCAAACTACGACTATCTCAGATACTGGTCAGAATAATATTCAATATAATGCTCCCACTCTTCAATTCAGTTACATTTGTATTGAGATGACAAGTTCAGACTCAGACTAGGCAGCCAGTGTGAATACGGTCAAGCTGTAGTAGTGCGTCACGAATTCACATGGTAGTCGGACAAAACCTTCGGTGATTGAAGTGAAATAAAAATGTGGTCAGTGGTTAGCAAAGCATTGTCCGGGAAACCGGGTGGTCACTGGTTCTAATCTGGCCGCGGTCTGATTTTCCATTTCTCCTTCAATCATTACTAGTCTGCCAAACCACGGTTATCTCAGTTAGTCAAAATGATAGTTTATTATTAGTAATACAGGTTTGAGTTAGCTAATTTCACCGTACACATTGATTAGGTTATTAACGAGATTATTTCTTATGCTAAAATTTAATATTTAACAAACAATATTGTTGACGTAAATATGATTCTAGTACTACTCATCGTTCATTGTATGAGTTGAGCCTAAATTATCTCTGATTGGCTCCAACACATTCATTTGCTGATACTAATTCAATATATAATGTTCATTCGAGTTTCATTTATTCAATGATTAAAAAAAATATTATCTCGAAAAGTTATTCGTAAATTTCAAATAAATTTTAAGCTATGAGCTACATAAAAATGTCAATGTTTGAATTGGATTCCAGTGCTGAAAGCTCTTTTTATAGTAATCTTTTTTGTTACTTCTATGTACTGGCCTTTTTCTATTGACTTTTATTTGTTGAAATACTTTACTCATAAATCTCATTTATATAGCCTATCCAAAGCGATATAACTGCAAGAGTTATCATCTACTGTTAAACTGACGAATATTGAGTTTGTAAACTATTTTAATTCTCCGTTACTTGAATCTAAGGAGAAAAAGTGGATAAAAAGTCAAGCATTATTCACTACTAGGCGATCATTATTTCCTCATTTTCACGTGACTAATATCGAAAATTAAGTTGTATCTCGTTATATAAATGATGGATAGCAGCTAACAGTGGAATTCAATACGTGCGTTTCCCCCCACTTAGGATTCGTCAGATGGATGTACTTACTTCACAGTGGGCGATGTTGTTCCAAATAAGGTTAGAACGCCGGACTGATCTTTTCAAACGCCAGAGCATTATCCACTGGGCTACCTAGTCATGACAGCTACTTCTTGTGCGTTGGATGTAGTTGTTACGTTGTAACTTGTACTATCCCATCATTGATTAGACCTAGTTGATGAGCCTCTATTAGCATATAGGTTCCTTAACGGATCCTTCGATATCGTCTGTGTTTCAGTTCTAGATTTATGATGAATAGCGGCTGCTAACGGAATCCAGGACACGTATTCCATCTTACTTAGGACTCGTCAGTTAAATATCATTGCCTCCCAGTGAGCGATGCTGTTTCCACTGAGACTCACTGAGTGGTAGGTACATTCAGCTGACGAGTCCCATATAGGGCGAAATGCACGTTCTGGATTCCACTGCAAACCACCATCCATTATTGACGTGTTTCAAATATAGGGAATAACGTAGGATCCACTCGGGAGCCCATATGCCAATAGATACTGATCAATCCAGTTTAATCAACGATGGAATAATACAAGTAACAACGTGGCACCTCGTTTTTATCTTGACACAAAATAAGCATAAATTTTAAAGTGAATTCTAATGTCTTTATGCCAATTTTTATCTTGTATTTGCTAAAAGAAGCAAGTAGATAAATCGTCATCTGTGATCGAAAACCTGCAATCACTTCATATCTTCTACTTCCTTCGGCCATGTCTTACAGCCGTATAGCAGGACAAAGTGGATTGCATTGTAGTATACTTGTCTTTTGGAAGATGAACAGATATCTCTTCAGTCAGTGCTACAAATGACACGAGTTGGCAGATACCAAACGGCCTGACATTTGAATTGATGCAACACTCCATGAGAATTAAGTGGTCGGTGTATTCCACCATTTCACTGCCTGTCAGTACAGTGGGAGTGGTTAAAATAGATCAGTCTTGGTGCATCATCTTATGTTTTACAGGTGCAAAACGCTTGCAAAGCACTAAGTCACTGTAGCATGTTGAATTTCTTTCATCATTACTATTCATACTGTTGATCAATATGTAACCAATAAGATAGTGTTGAAAAACAGTTGTAAATAGTTCATCCCTTTTCAAAAGTGAAAAATAATCTTAAAATACCTGTAGTTTATTTGATTTTTGGTAATACTAATTTGAACTTATTGTTTGTCGATAAGTGAACTTTACATTTTTTTTATTATTATCTTTTATAAAAGCCTTACCATCTGAATCCATAAATGATACTGGTTATCCTTCTACAACAATAACAACCAATAAATTACCACATCAATTTATGCAATCAACAGAATCAACAAAGAATTCAATAGCTTCAGAAGTGCGTATACTGCCATCATTTTGTTGGAGTGCTGATCATGTACTCTACTGGTTACGTGAATATGTTTGTTTACCAGGTGGATGTTTAGAGGCTGCTAGTCAATTACGAATGGATGGAAAACAGTTGACAACTATAATTGATAAAAAAGTTGAAAAACTACTTCATCTAAAGTAAGTTATTTATTTGTTAAAAATAATCTATTAAACTCAGTTTCTAAAATGGTTTTCTAGGTAATTCAATTTCGATGTTTATAAGAATTTTATTGATTTCAAGTAGGTATTCACCATGTACTGATATCAGTTGTAGAATTATTGAAAAACTGTGATCATTAGACAGGTGTTTCATCCTAGTCTGGGACTTATCAGCCATGCGCGCACCCAAGGTAACGCTAGGGATCAAGCCGTAGGTCAGCGAACACTTTGGTATTGAACCACTGAGTCAAGTAAAAAAATCTTTCTATTGTGATATTTGGTCAAATATCATATCATAATTATCCGATCGCTTCATGAGAGATCTTACTCACAAAGCTAAATCGATTTCTTCTTCCTGTGTATGCATATGGGGCAATTTTGTCAATTTTGCTGTCATTAATATGGTTGATAAGTCCATGAGAAATAGTTGCCTGTTTGTAAGTGCATGTTAAGTCAACTTGAATAAAAAACTAATTGGTAACTAATTAGTGTACTTACTCCCTGGTTCTCTACGAGGTTATTCCAGCCTAACTATAATAAAAGCAATATGTATCTCCTAAATATCCTGTTTGGTTTATTTGGGTGTAGAATAATTTCAGAGCTCTTGGTTTTTAGTTTGTTTTATACAGGTTAATTATATACTGTATATGTGTAGTTATTAATTGTTACATCTGACCAATAGTTACCACAGTGTCATGGTAGTACTTATGTCTAAGTATGATTGACATATCTTTATGATTCTGTCTCAGTAATACAACGTGAAGTAGCGTTAAAAGAACAGTAGGCTGAGAAGTTGTACTGTTTAAAAGTAGGATGCTATTTTAAGGCTATTAGCTATTTTGATAATCTTGGTATCAGAAAATAGCGTTATAATAGACTGATATAGAAATACTACATTTAAGACTGAACTATAAAGCATTACATTTAGTTGCAAAGTCACTTGTGATACCAATTAAGTTATTTGCGCATAAATACATGAAATATGATTATCAGTAAGACTTGGTGAGATAGTCAAAGTCTATCGGACTGGATGATGAGTGAAAGTGGAATACAAACCTGACTCATGGTAGGTTTCGAACAAGTGGCCTATGGGTTACCAATTGAGCTATACGGCTAAGCTACCACCCAGACAATGATTTCGGAATGCTGTTCTGGTTTGTTTTTATGCTATCTTCGAGACTGGGAATAAAGTTCTCCATATAGTTACTCATTTGAAGCATTTTGCTTGGATTCTATCTCTGTTCCATCTTTGCTGACTATCAAACCGCACCATTCTTCAAAATGTAGTGTCAACAGAGATTGACAGATTAATAGGATTTAATGTAACAACATCTGTGCTTTCGTTGGAAAGTGTTGTTTATATCATTGAGCTTAAACGAATGATAGGTAATCGCATGTTCAACTTATGCAGAGATATTTCAAGTTGTTATTCATCATAGACTGACATTAGTTGGAGGAACGAAGGAAACCTGGGAGCACTGGACAGATGTTTCGTCCTAGTGTGCGACTCCTCAGCAGTGCGCACCCATGACCTCGCCAGGGATCGGAGCCGCAACCCTCAGGTTCCGTCGCCAGCACGTTACCATTGAGCCACTGGGTCAGAATCCAATGGTCCATATTTCCAACTTCTGTTAGCTCATGATATAGCGCAACCGCCACTTAATGTCATCGTTGGGTAACTGTCCTCACGACCATCATATTGCACTTCAAAATTACGAATGTGTATTATACCTATCTTGGACAATTCTTCTTATTTTTACTGTGTATAACAAGACACTTCGGACTTACTCATAATTGGTGTTGCTATTATGAGTGATTTAGGTAAACTTACAGCTACTTTATTGGTTTGTCATCATTCATGAAATCTCAACTTAAATGTCTATAGATTGTCGATATATTTTGGAGTAATTATTCACTTGCATTTGAATCTCTTGATACGTTTGACAGAGTAAACCATGTCGTCCTATTTCACGAACACTGTTCAACCGCATTCACTCTAAAAGTACAATAGTTATTAACAGTACATAAGAGATATTTTAAGAAATTATGAAATCAATGTTCCAATTTAATGTCCTGTGTCTACTAGGTGTCTGGCAATTGCACTCGTTTGAATTTAACTTCTTTTAAAGCCTAGATTCTTGGGGATATGCTCAGTGAACCAAACAGACACCATCCTCTCAGTCCTCCGAATGTACTTGCTACTGCAAGTCCATATGAATTCATAAATACATTTACAGGTGACATGACCGGTTCAGAAAGCCTATGGTATTGTATAACAGTACAAGTTTAACTGCAGAGAAGCTCCTTCTCGGTCCTCTTTTGACCCTTGTGCCTATTCTCCTGCATATTGCATCCCCCTTAAATATAAGGTGAATGAAGTTTTTCTTCTTTTCCTGTTTGATGTACATTTCTCTCGATCTTTTCTCTGCCATATATCCATATCCATTCTCTCAGGGTTACTTCTCAATGAAGTTAAGTTCTTCCTCTAACTTTTTCTAAAAAACACAATTTCCCAGCTGTGTTGTAAAGTGTTTTAACTAGCCAAAGTTAATATCCGGCAGAGTAGAAACTGTTACAGTTAAAGTACTGCCCAATCCATATGTCTCTTCTATGGATCCTCTTTTCAACCTTACCATCAATTCTTCTCCTCATGTTAAGGTTCTGAAAAGACCGAACTCATTTTTATGCGCATAATATTCTATCATAAAATTAATATTAAGATGAGCCTTGTTGAAACTGTCAAACAACGCATTTTTATGTTTCATATCATTATAATTCTAACCAGTATAATCCTCAGACATCTCGTAAACATTGGAAATCAGGTTCAAACTTTGAGTACTTTTAAAATAATTAACGTATAAAAAATGTCTAGATTACTGTGTTTTGCCGAAGCATTTGAAATAAAACATTTTCCACCTAACCTTTGCACACAGGAAGATAGTGTGATTACTCTCTCTCTTCCTTGGTGACTATGATTAAATCCTGTTTCATCTTCATTTCCTTTTACATAACTTTTTATTTACTTACCATTGTTTTTCCTTTCTTACATTTCTTACCTCTTTGTACAATTAGTAATTCCTTATATATTATATGGATTATCAATGATTTCGTTGTACAATTTAAGAATATTGATTTGCGAATTCTAAAGAAAGTCTTATGTGCTGTTAGATAACCATTGTATACAACTGAGGAGTGAGTATTGGTGTTATTTTGTAAATTTCATCTTTCTTCCTCTGTCATAATTGTTTTCCATATAGTGTACGTTCATCTGTTCCCTAACTTAGTTGCCTTTCTTAAATTAGATAGTTCTAATCTCTTGTTATTTAAAAAAAATTACCTTTTTAGCATTTATCTCCTGTTTCTTTTAATATATATTAGGACTGAGAGATTATTCATTATCTTAGGGAAACTTTTGCATGTTTTTAAAATCTCAAGTTAAGTAGTTTAAAGGTCATCTGTCAACTCCTAGCACACTGTTTGTTTGTCTTAAGGGTGTCCAATATTACACATGTATTATTTTTTGAAATCAAATCTTAAGTAATAAATTACGTAAACTCTTTGTATATCCGCTGACTTATAGTCTTGTCACATGGAGTTTCCGATCCCACTCAACGGGAAATTCATTTCATGATAAAGAATATTTTTGAATGTTACTGTCAACCAGCCTCTCTATACACTCTGTTCCTCCCTGGTTTGTGGTCACACAGATCATTTAAAAATGACACAATTCGGTCCAATATTTATTCAATCTAGGGGTTTGTGAAGGCATGAATTTATTTCAGGTTAAAATTCATCATGGACTGATACCACTTGGAGAAACATTAGAACCTAGAAGCACTTGACACCTGTTTCATCCTAGTATTCAACTCCTCAGCAATTCATACCCATGACCCTACCCCAATAAAGGACCTTCAGCTTCTGCGGTCAGTACATTACCATCGAGCTAGCCTCTGGGTCAGAATCCAATGATCCATATTTCTCCCTTCTTTCAGTTCACAATATGGCGTGACCTCCATTCAATGTTATCACTGAGTAACTATCCTTATTTTCAACTTGGTTGGCTGCACCCATCACGACTTCTCATTGGAACTTCGGGAATCATCTATCGAAGCTAGTTACCAATGAGCACTAGATAAATTGAATTCGGAGGTTTGTGGAGATCTATTAATTGATTTCAGGTTGGAATTGATCATGGACTGACATCATTTGGAGGAACATTGGAAGACTAGGATCATTGGACAACTGTTTTGTCTTAGTATGGGACTACTCTGCAAAAAGCTAATAACCATACAATGAAACACGTGCTTCTTAAACGCAATTAATAAGCAACAATGATCCTACGCCATTTCATCTAGAAAGTCTGGTACCGAAACACAGGTAAAGAATATATGCAACTTATAACTGGGAACTACCTTCCCTGACGCACAATGTCATCTGAAGCAGATTTTGGCTGGAAAATGTTCTTACGCCGGTTAGACTAAAACGATGTAACAATGCATGAAGTTTTTTTATTTGTTGGGCAGAGTCATGTAGTTCAATGTAGATTTTCAGGATGGCGTTCCTGTGACAACTGAAATCATTGCCTCACGATTCTAGGTAACATGACTAGGAATCATCTAAGCGACTTTGATGCATACACATATTGTCTTCATCTCAAGCAGTATATCACATTTACTTCCACTCCGTTTCTTAAATTGATTTCCTACCACTCTAGATTACATTTTCTTTTTCCATTTCTGCATAATCCTTCTTGCTACTTTGTATCTTGGTGTACTGATGTGAGTTGTGGCATCTTGAACCACTACACAGTGTTGCTAAGTCCAATATCGTTATTGATCGAATTTAGTGAATTTTTGAATGAAACGTTAATGAAAACCAGTAAGTCTCAGTAACGTGATTCAAAGAAGTCAGTGTGTAGATTTATTTAGGGGACTACTATCAGGATAAGGGGTAGCAGTATGTGACGAAAGCGAAAAATG